CTCAGGGTTGACTCAGCCTTCCATCCTTCCGAGGTGGGTAAAATGAGGACCTGGATTGTTGGGGGCAATATGCTGACTCTGTAAACTGCTTAGAGTGGGCTGAAAGCCCTATGAAGTGGTATATAAGTCTAACTGCTATTGCTATTGCTATTACTCTATTCTATTCCATTCCATTCCATCCTATCCTATCCTACTCCACCCTACCTTACCCTATTCTATTCTATTCCATTCCATCCTACCCTACCCTATCCTACCCTACTCTATTCTATTCTTCAGAGGCCAAACCCTTAATCTCTTGGCAAGGAGTGAAATCCACCAGAATACTATGGATGCAATACCAAAGTCTCTCTTTCGGAGGGCAATTTTTTTCCACCCGTTCATTTCTAATGGAATATATTCAGGAATACGCACCTGCTGTCAACAGAAGCAACTAAAGTAGCTGTAATTCATGTAGTATCCTCTGGACAGCCTAGTAATTTCGTTGCTACCCTCCTTCCTTATTCACTTTGAACATGCCTTTTGTGTCAAGAACGAAAGCAAATTGAATTCTGCTTTGAAGTTCATCTGTGCTTAGATACAATTGCTCCTCCTGTCTATGCACAAAGGGAAGCCATTTCTCCTGAAAAAGAATAAGCTCATCATCTTTTTGAGCTCCTTATGATGTCAGGTTTTATTATCGGATCTCCAAATACCCCGTATAACAAACACCTACATCTCACTGGAAGTAAATCAATCATTCTCCTAGGTTGAGTGATGATGCTGGCAAAAGACAAACCTAGAGGGTTTGGGGGTTTGTTTGTTTTTTGCAAAAGGAGCTAATTGTTTCTGCAATTGTGTAAATAGATTGGAGCCACATCGTATCAAATAATCCACCAATTGAAAAGAGCAATGCAATTAGGCGCTTTCAGCTTCAGGAGCAAAAATGTTCATTATTACTATAATTTCCTCTAACTTGTTTGGTGACACTTGCAATTTAAATCTACTAGAGGCTATGGCACATATTCTATTGCCCACCTTAGCAGATCGTAGTGCGGCCTCATACTTAAAAAATGTAAAAAATTATCTCTTCAAGAAATCCAAAGACATAATTTGGGGTGGATAGGAATTGCACTCGCTTTAAAAAAGAAAAGAAAAGATGCAAGATTGTTGAGGGTTGGAGAGAGAGATATAATCACTTGTTTCCTGAACTGATTGTGTAATCATCTAATTTCACTTCCATTGGTTTATTAAAAAAAAAAAAGCCAAGAAAACAATAATTTGATGCAAGGAAATTATTCTGCCTTGCATCTAATTACAAGGAAGATACATACAACATTGTGGTGTTGTATTTACAAAAATGTCAGGGGGAAAAATGGAAGAATGGTCACATAACTGTTGTGGCTCAGCAGGAGCCGTTGGAGCTGCCACCAGACTCCGACAGCGAGGGGCCTGATGAGTCGGCTCTGGAGGATGTGGAGGACCCTGGATAGGGTTCTGACTCCGAGCAGGGTACAGAGAGGCTGGTTGGCCACCAGGAGGCGCCTGAGCCTTGGACCAGTGGGGAGGAGACAANCAGCTGACTGCTAGTTCGGCAGTTCGGCTGTTCAAATCTCACCGGCTCAGGGTTGACTCAGCCTTCCATCCTTCCGAGGTGGGTAAAATGAGGACTTGGATTGTTGGGGGCAATATGCTGACTCTGTAAACCGCCAATCCATTTTTATAGGGATCATAAAGACTTCCCCCTCAACAGCCCACTCTTGGAATGGCCACAAGTGACTTACACAGCAACTGGGATGGGGGGCAGGAGAAGAAATGGAGGGAATTCATCATCAGAGGTAAAGGAAGAAAACATATTTTGAAGTCTGTGCCTTCTTTCCAAGACATTTGATACCAGCTTTGAATCATTAAGCCCACAAGAGACCCACTTGTCCTTTAATGTTCACTCACACGGTGGACCATCATATCCATTCATCTTAATGTTCAGTAGGAAAGAAATGGGGATAGACAAGTGCACAGTTCTTTATTCTAATCACAGAGATGCTTGAAATATGGGCTGAGCTCAGACTTGGCAGAAACAGCTGAAGCCAAAGCCAGCCAGGCCAAATGAACTGTTGGCCCCAAATCAGGAGACAATCGACCTGTCACAGCCAGCCACTTAGAGGAGAAAATGCAGAAACAAACAGCTCTTTTCTTCCCCAAAAGAGAAGTATTAGTTTTCTATGGCAAAACTATCTAAAGGACTGCACCAACTTTTAATCTGTAATTTTTGGCTTTGGGGAAGAGAAACAAACAGGGAGAAATTCCCAACACAGTGAGCTCTCTTGTGTGCAGCCAGAGTGGAATGGCCTGGCTTGCAAACCATGTCCAACACCAACATCTTCTGAAGCTGCTAGAAGAACTTCAAAAATATCCTCAAGGATGACTTGATCTTTAAACTATAACAATTTTTCCCCCAACGTGGCACCCTCCAAATGCTTTGGGCCATAGCTCTCAGAATACTTCTCTTTTGTCCTGCTCTTTGTCACATCATATGTAAAGGAAAAGGACAGCAATGCAACCAACTTGATACATTTGTTTTGTTTTTTTCTGTATCAGAAAAAAATGCTAGTTTTTCCCACCAAATAATTTTGCTGGAGCAAATCTGATCTATATTTTGCCATTCCATATTTAGACTCTTTTACAATACATGAACTAAAATGAACTAAGACAGAAACAGTAGTGGGTTTTTTTTTAGCTGCCCCAAGCCTAGGTTTCTTTTCTAATTTAGCTTGCCTTCGTCTGACTAACCACGTTCCCCTTCGCATTCTGGGTTCCAGTTGTAGTCCATTTAAAGAAGAGAAGCTCACCACTTTCAGCAGGCTCCGTTGTTCCCTGAAGGTTGCACAGCAACCCAATATGCCAGTAATCATGACAACAGCACCTGCCACCACCAGGATGTAAGCTGTTGCCAGGTATATATTGGACTGCAAGAGACTAATGTAGTCACTCTTCTCAGCCAGGGTCCAGATGCCCACTGCCATCACAGCTCCACCTGCCAGCTAAAGAGGGAGAGAGAAATGCATACAGGATGAGTGAGAGGTATCTACATTCAAATGTTCCAAAACCACCTTGTCCAAAGTTATTCAAACTGGTGTCTTCCACATGCACTAGACCATGTCTAGAAATCATGGGTATTATAGCAGAGCTTTTTTCAACCTTGGCAACTTTAAGAGTTGTAGATTTCAGTTCCCGGAATACGTCTAAGCATTGCTTCACTTTCACTTTTCTCTGGGTTGTATGATTAGGAAATTCTCCAATCAAGAAATCAAAACTGAGCATTCTGTAAAGAGCTTAGAATGCCTGGCAAAGGCAATAATGTTTCTTGGTGAATATAAATGGACCTAAACCTCAATTTAGGAAAAAGCATTTGAACCATACAAGCACAGAAACAATTTATTATATAGGCTGAACACAAACACCCCATATATTTGTGTTTCAAGGGCCTTCCAATATGTTATCTTCTAAATGTTATCTCAGACCCCATTATGAAGCTTTTGAAACTCTTTTGGTGGGCTTCCAGGCTATGCAGCATGGAGTTCAAACAAGGAAAAAAGAAGGTAACTCCTAATCCAGTGCAGGACTTAAACCAATGAAACTTAAGGTCAAGGGAAAAGCTACCTTCTGCACAAATGAAAGTTTCAGATGCCACCTTCTTTAATCACCAATTACTTGTCATTTTAAAAAAATTGCAAGCCTCTGGGCAGAAAAGGTATGTACACGCTTGGGCAAATGATTGCCTGAATACCTTATCTCAGTCATTCTTAAAAACCGAGTTAAGGCAGAGAAATATGTATTTATTAGATTTATGACTTGCCTTTCCTCTAAAGCAGGCCTGGGGGCCAGATCCGGCCTGGGGGATACTTAGATCTGGCCCACGGGGACACCCTTTGGTGCTTCTACCAGCAAAAACAGGCTCCTGGGGTCCGTTTTCGGCTGCCATTGCCTCCTGCAACCAGTGGGCAGCCCTCCTGAGGTCCATTTTCGCTGGCAGAGCACTCAGGCCTCCACAGGCATCCCTGACACCCCCGAGTGACATTGAGCTGGCCACCCCCACCCACCTCCAGCCCCCCCAAGGTCAAACAAAAAACCCTGATGGGGCTCTCAAAATCAAGTTTGACATCCCAGCTCTAAAGGCTCACGGCAACATAAATAACTCCCTCCTTCCATTTTCCCCCCAATAGCAGCAGCCTTATGATGCAAACGGAATTGGCTGAAAGTGGACTTAGATCTGGGTACTTGCAATCCAAATCTAACACTCCAGCCACAGTACTACATTGAATTAACTTTAATTACTCTTCCCTTCCCCCCCCCACCAAAAAGACCCCTAGATTTAGTCTTTAGTCTTTAGTCACTTTATTTGTATGCCGCCCTTTTCCCTGGGGGGACTCAGGGCGGCTCACAGTTCAAAAGGGGGGAGGAAAGACAAACAATTTACAACATAAAGACACTACATTATTTAAAAACTCAACAGTCATACAATTCGAGTGTGGGTTAGAGTCTTAATTTTACAGCATGATGCAGGAAAGTACCCCAAATAGCAGTTCCTTACCCAGAAGAAGAAGTTGAAGATGAATAGCAGGTATTTGAGACAGATGGTCATACATGTCTCCTTGCTTTCACTGTATTCACGCATGGTCACAAATCAACAGAACTGTAAAGGAAGAAGAAAGCAAAATATCAAACCCATGAAGAAGCCTTTTTTGGGGGGTTTGCAAGCATGATCATTCTGCATTTCTCTATACGACGACGACCCAGCTGGCATGGCTGCAATACACCATATGGGAAATATGATAGGGAAAGCATGCAGAGCATGCTTGTGGGAACCCTTTTACCAATAGTGACCATAGGGAGGGTGTTGCGTTTTCTTCTATAACAAAATAACACAGTGCGTTGCGTGTACGTTTCTGCTCTCCTCTTCTGTTGTTTCTGCGTATGTTTGTGTTATGTGCATGCTGGAAACTGCAGGCACTCAAACACATTAACAAGAGAGAGTCAGACTCAGGATCATCCACATGGCAACCTTTCACTGATGGTCTCCTGTAGGTACAGTTTTCTCTAAAGGAAGCCAAGTTAAAACTCCCTTTCCAGGTTTTATGCCTTTCTCCACTTTGGCCATGATGAGGGCTGAGAGTTCTGTCACAGGTTTTAGTAAATTATGACCAGCATCTTGAATTCTTACCAGAAGGCTACACGCACAGCGAGAGAAAGAGAGCAAACTTATAAGAATGTGCTCTCTTAGGTTTCAATAAAGGAGAATATTTGTAGCTCAGGGTTGAAATGAGGGGCCCTCTGAGCTTGTTTTCCTACAGATGTTTCATTACCCTAACTAGGTGTTGTGACCCGGCAGGAGCCGTTGGAGCTGCTGCCAGATTCCGACAGCGAGGGGTCTTATGAGTCGGCCCTGGAGGAGGTGGAGGACCCTGGACAGAGTGCCGACTCCGAGCAGGGCGAGGAGAGACTGGTCGGCCACCAGGTGGCGGCAGAGCCTGGATCAGAAGGAGTGTTCAGGAAAACGCTTGTGAGTTGTTTCAGGATGCACCCCGTCGAAGGGCTACTCGACGGAAGGAACAACTGTGTAATTGTAGGATATGATTGGGCTTAGCTGATGCTGATTAAGATCCTC